GGCCTGGGAGGGAGCCGGGAACTGGGGAGTTGACAAAAATCCGCGCCTCCTAGAAATTACACGTTTTTCTTAGGGTGATTTGAATTAAGTCTCAGTTCCTGAACAGTAGTTTTCATCTCTTTTAAGAGAAAATATTTGATTTTTATAAGCGTTCCTTTCCATAAAATATCGCCTGGTTGTGTGCTTCAGCAGAGTTGCGTCTTTGAGAATTGCTGGACATTAAAAAGAATGAAGGTTATGTTGAGGAATGTGTCTGCCCTTGTTTGATGATTATATTTATAGGTCAGATGTTGAATTGAGACACATGGATTGGAAGTAGTAGGTGTGTTTTAAACCATGTTTATTCTAGGTCATGGAGATAGGGAAATATTTGGAAAGAGGTTTTTTTTTTTTTTTTAATGAACAATTTCTCTACCAGGCAAACATTTTCAAGAGTGAAGTTCAAAGAATATGACCAATTCTAGTTGTTCAGAGTGTTCATTGAGGCCCTGAGGGCTGTATTGAGATGGCAAACTCAGGGTTGATCTGTGCTGGATTAGATGCTGGAGGTCAAGTTCAGTTTTTCTTAGTAAATCGTCTGGCCTGCAGTGTCTGGGCTGCTGGTGTGTCTCCATCCTGTTCACCTGTGTTCAGCCCTCCTGGAGCCCACAAGCCTCCGACCCCATTCCTGCTGGGCTCCCAGGACCTAGATTTATTTTTTGTTTTTTTGGTGTGTAATTTTTTAATTTTTTCATGTTTTCCTACCTGGTCATGCCTGCTTTCTTCTATATTATCAGCTGAGTGAATGTCTCCATCTGTCCAATTGTTGGTAGAAGGTATCCAGCCTTCGAAGTGTGTAAAACAGTGCAACTCTTGGAGGCTCACCCTGATTTACCTTAATTACAAATACCCTCTTAAGAGACCATTTCCGGGGGGAGGGGTTTGTGCAGGGAGAAGGGTGCAACAATGAATGAATGGAATCCCAAAATCTCTATGGATGTTCATTGAAATAAAAAATAAACAACCTAAATTTAAAACAAAAAATCAACAGAAAAAAAAAAAGAGACCATTTCCTTGAGCCTGGACACTCAAAAGCTCACAAACTCATTGTATAGTATTGGAAAATAGTTATTCTATTTCCAAGACTGAACATTCACCAGGAGGATAATCGTTATGTTTTGCTTTCAGAGTTGCTGATCAATACATAAGCACCCCATATGCACAAAACTAAACTGTGGGCGTCGCTTCAGTCCTCCTTAAAGATTAAGCCTCGTGAATGAAGCTATAAGTCCTTTCCTCGTCTTGGGTAACTGAGCAGTATTTCCTCCACATTTGTCTCTTTCAGGTCTAAATTGTCCTACAAGGAGATCTCATCCCGTCCAGGTAGCTGCCAAGAGGGAGCATCGCGCATTTCTGTCACCCCACAAGAAGGAATTCTGCCACTGTGAAGGGCGTGTGGACCAGACATCATTCCTCTGCCTCTGGATTGCCTTGTGTTCTTCTCCCAGCCAGAACACTCCTCCTGAAGTGATTATCTCGTGATTAGTGAAGTCATTCCCTTAGCCCTGCTTAAAATAGAACAAAGAAATGGTGAGTCCTAGCAAAAAACTCTCTCAGTCTTAAATTAATGATATGGCATGGAAACTCTTGGGGGCGCAGTCTGTTTTGTAGCCCTGCAGTTTCCTGCTGAGAAGAAAGGGTGAAAGAAGAGGTTCCAGAAGTGACCTCGGAAGCCCCCTAATTGTTTGCTCCCTAAATATTTGGCCCTGTCCCTACCCACACTCTTTCATAACAGGAATGCCACGGGTCACTTTCCTCATGTGCTCAAACACCTGGAAACATGATCTGTTATCTGCAACCTAGACCTTGATTCTCTGTGTTTAATGGTAGAATTTCCTGATCAGAATCAGGAGATGGCCCAGCAGGATTTTATCTCTGTTTTTCAAACTTTGTTTTATATTTGGGCTTTTTATTGTTTTTTTCCTCCAGTGGAGTGTTTTCTGCATTTTGTTTTGAGAACCTTCCGTGTGGAGAAGGAAGAAGCCCACTCTTCTAGTTCTTCACCCCGTCTTCACTTGCCTAGACTCGTTGGTGTTTGATCTATAGAATGTTTGTCTCTTCCTTATCCTCTCCCATCAAAGCTGTGCATGAATAGTGTGTGATGAGAGGTCCTGCTAAAACCAAAAGCAGACTCTTTTGGGTCACGCATATTCCTCGTTCGTTTAATGAGCGTATCATGGACATTCTTTGCTAGTGCACCTGACAGCCTCAGAAAACCCACAGCGCTGGTAGTTACTTTGTGTTGGATGGCAGTAAATTAATCAGTGTTGAATTCTCACGTAACAATAAAAAAGTTCACTTTTCCTTGAGAAGGTAAATAGGAGGAATGTCGACGTTTAAGTTCTTGGAGTCCAATGTCACTCAAATTCCCTTTTTAGATTATTTGGTGTATATCTCCTGAGAGCCTCGATTCCCTGGCTCCCTCAATGTCTCGTTCCTTTTTTCACCATTTCCTTTTGTGTCCCTGAACTAATTTTGGGAATGCCTTCCTTAGTCTTCTTCCAACATCACATACACCAAAATGGGTCTTTTCAGGTGTTATGGGAACTTGCTGTCCTTTTTTCTCCATTGAAACCCAGTCGCCGTCTCTTTCTTAGATCTGCTGGTTAAGATGTTACAGAGATGATTAAAAAATAGCCTTGTGAGAGATGTCATCACTGGTAATGTGCTTTGTAAGCAGTATAGGGGTGTGTTCAGTGGATATTCTGCTGTCAAGTGGGAACCTGAGAATTCTCACTCGATGGCACAGACGACTAAGAAAAATAGGAAAGAATTAGTCTCCTTCATCATGTCCCGTAGGAGAACTGTGCTTCTATTTTGGAATGTCCAGGACTTGCAGAGAGTTTTATATTTGTCCTGTGTGTGAGTTCTTCAGTGTTTGTTGAAGGTGGATCTCTTTTGCACCATCGTGGCAAATCAGTAGTTGAGGTTTTGTAGTCAATTGTTATTCACCCCATTTCTGAGTAAACATCTCAAAATCTCCACCCTGCTGTGGTCACTCCTTTCCCCACAGTCTCCTCTTGTTTGCCTACCAGTCACCCTGATGTTCCTTGTAACCTTAAAGGCAGGCCTTGATGGCATGTCTTCCTAACAGAGCCTCTTTAATTGATGTCTTCTTTCCCGGTAACATAAGTACCTCATACTGCCTTGGTGGGCAAGGCCTGGTAATTACCATCACTGCCATGGCCTCTGTAAAGATTAAGTTCCTTGGGTTAGTAAAATCAGCGCCATAAAGTCACACTTAAGCCTTGTTTGCATATGTAGAAAATCAGCTGCTGGCTCTGGGCTATTCATTTCTTACTTAGGTGAGGGGAGAGGAAGTTTCCTTTAAACAGATAGATGACCCTAATCACACCTCTAATCCACTTTTTTTTTTTAATTTTTATTGTAATATTTTTGTGTGAGTGTACCATCAAATCAGATCTGACTGGTCCAGGAGGAGATTGTCCCTCCTTCTCCGGCAGAGCATCTGGTAGATTTGAACCGTGCGCCCCTGGGATTGTAGTTGCAGCTCCTTTTTTTTTAATTATTATTATTATTATTAAATTTTATTAGTTTCAATGAACATTCACAGGGATTCTGGGCTTTCACTCCTTCATTGCCGCACCATTCTCTCCACCCTCCTCCCCAGTTTGTTCTTCTTCCCTGC